CTTTAACTTTTAATTTTCTTGAAAAAAAAAAAAAAAAAAAAGAAAATGGAAATAAGAGCGTCCTCGTTCGGGGAGCACAGTTGGAAATTTTCTCAAGTATCTAGGAATTTAATTTAGAGGAAAGACAGTGAAGTGAGAATGGAAGGTATGGACGCGTAATACAGAGTGATATTAATCCTTCAAATTATAATTTTCTTCTAAGAAGAGGATTAAAATGGCAGCACTCCTTGGTATAATAAAGTCAAGGTATATTCGATATTTTCCAACACAATTTGGTCCAATTTTTTGAAAAAATTTAATCGAAAAACTAATCATAATTTAATTTCGTTTTGGAAATTTCTTACGAAACTTCTTTTTTTTTCGAAAATTTATTTTCAAAGAGTGAATAAAAAAAGGAAAAAAAAAATTCTTTCCTCCCCAAAATTAAATCTTCTCGAACGCTTGGAAACGGGCCACGGCCGATTGATTGTGAAGAAAAATCTTACGATCATCGAAACATCAAAACATCCGCTCGACTTTCTCTCCTCGCGCCAAGAAGCTCTCTCTCTCTCTCCTCTCCCTCGAGAGGGGACCTCTCTCGATTCGTTCCTCCGCTATCGGCTTCGTACGGTATACGGTTCGATTTATCGACGAGCGAAGGGATGAATCGTGGCGCTATTGGGGAGTGGGGAAACGCGTGCAAACGGGCAGGAGGGCGACGCTTGCATAAAGTGGTGGAAAATTCGGGTTGAAACCTGTGAAAGCGGGGAAAGAAGATCAATAAAGTGGTATGCCATACTGTCGGTGCCGCTGGTGTGCTGTTGTAGTAGCGGCTGGCTGGCTGGTGTGTATTATTAAGCGGAGGTGTGGAGTCAGAGAACGAGAGAAAGAGAGAGAGAGAGAGAGAGAATGAGAAAGAGGGACAAGTGACGAGAGAGGAACAGTGTGGGTGGAAACATTGGTCAGGGATGAACAAAGATACAAAGTGTTGAGGTATGAGGAAAACGAGAGAGTCGAAAAGGGGGTATGAATCGAGGGAGAAGTGGGAGGAGATGGAAAGGCGGTGAGCAGGAAATATGGAACAAGATAATAAAAACTCACGAGAGTAGGAAGAAACCGGTGCGAGCTGTTTCTCGAGAAATCGCTCGTAGAGCGTGGAGGGTTGGAAAAGGTTGTAAGTAATTTTTAATAATGTGACATATGAACGGTATGCTGGAAAGTTTGATGTAAGATGAATTTGGTAAATTGAAATTGAAATTAGTATATTTTGTTTTCGTTTTTGGGCAAAGCTCGACTCTTTTTTTTTTTTGATATGATGTTTGTGTAAAAAAGTTACTTGTAATTTTGTAATTTCGATAATGATTCCGGGGGAAAAATAAGGGAAGAAATTGGGGAAAACGGTAAGATCTAGCAAAGGATTTTCGAGAGGAACGAAAACGCGTGTAAAATGGTCGATTTAGTGGAGCGGGAAGACGAAAAGTGAGCATCGTGTGCCATACCCGCGTCGGTTGCAACACGGTCTAGTTAGCAGAGCGCAGTTTTCTGCATGGTTTACACGTGGAATGGACGGTGCAACGGGAAAAGGTGAATTAGAAATTTGTTCTACATACTTATACCGGTGTGAAGCCGGGAAGGTTGATCTCTTGTCATTCGACTTGCTTCGTTTTTTCCACCGTCTGAAATCGATTTCCTCGAATATGGTTGTAAATTTCTGAAGT